CTACTTATTATTTTTTCCCTCTTGATTGTTCTGGCTACGTGGCCATTAGCATTCATAACGCCAATGAGATGGAGGGCTCTATGGAGGAAGTTTTCAAAAGCTAGCCGGTCCAGAGCATAATGGGAGATTTCGATGCATGGGGTTAGGACCAGCTCGAACCACGTATTTCGGAGTGTGCTCGCAGGGGGCTGCATCTTCTTCGTGTCAGGCTGGTCATTCAGGTGAGGACGTGACTACTTTGAAAGAAGAGGTAACAGTGGTGAACAAACAAATACAGGCCATGGCGAGGTTTATGGGTAAGAATTTTCCTGGACAAAACTGGATGGAGGATGCGGAGAACAATCAGGTAATGTTTCTTGTGTCCTTTTTTCTAGTTAATTATTTCCTGGCTAATAATAGTGTTTAGAGAATCAGATTATAAGGAACTTTGACATCTGGACAGGATTTCTAGTTAATTATTTCCTTGCTTTTAATAGTGATTAGAGAATCATATTATAGGGAACTTTGTCATTTGGGCCAAATTTAGTTATGAGTGGCTGTTGTGTTAAGATTTAATACTCTGATCAAAGCAAAGGTTGCTTGAAATTTGTTTAGTAACAAAACATGCGTATTTATTGGTATGCTTTATGATTAAGAAGCATTGTTCTTTAGCTTAGGCTGTGCCACAGTTGCTTAAATCATTATCAGTCATATGTACTACAACAAAAAACCCCTATGCCAAGGGTTACGTACCAAGGGTTTGTTAAACCCCTGCTAGATTTTTCGGAACTCATTAAACGGTGGTTTTTTCTAAGGGTTCGTGAACCCTTACTAACACACATGAAAACTGATAGACCGTCATTTACACATGTTTTTACCCTCATACTTACACCGTTTGAGGTGTTGATTCTCGTGTTTTAGGCCGATTTCACGCTAGGTTGTGCTTGTTTGTGTTATTTCAGGTCCTAGTACGTGAATGAAGGCTTAGGAGCGAGTCTGGGGTCGATTGGACGAAGAACGGACGAAGGGCGAGCTTTTTGGGGAGTGCACAGGCATACCAGGAGGCTGCACGGCCGTGCACTTGAGCCATTTGGACGTGCGCCTCACGCCGAGGCCATGCACGGGCAGGCCATGAAGCTTGCACGGCCGTGCGCCTGGCCGTGCAAGATGGACGAAGACACAATAATTGATACGGTGCGTTTCATGGTGCACGGCCAGAATGGTGTTGTGCACGGCCGTGCACCTGGCCTGGTTACCTTCTTCGGCCTCTCACTGCAGGGGTGCACCAAGGAGGGGGAGACCCCCATCTTTGGCAGCGCGACGATCGGGAAGATGCTGCTGTTGCGGGAGAGGAACGGTGTTCAGTGGGTCGAGGGATTTCCGGAGCCTCCTATCCCCGCGGAGCCCGAGGAGGAGGCTGACGATGATGTGGACCCCGAGGAGGTGGATGCTGCTGCTGATGCTGCTGATGATCCCCCACAGACTGACTCCCATTTTTGGGGTGGCAGCTCCACTTTCCAGGGCCACGACTACTTCACCCAGCAGTTCGACCAGCTGAGGATCCAGAACCAGCTGCTCCTCGACCAGCAGATGCAGTTCCAGCAGCAATACGCGGCCGATCAGGCCGAGTACCGGCACAGGCTGGACACGATCCAGACTCAGCAGGGCGTGACTCTCGCCCATATCGAGCGGGAGAAGCGTCGTTCCTGGCGCATGCAGGAGGTTCAGCAACACCTGCTTCAGCTGATTCCGGGCGATCCACCTGTCTGGAGGACTCCCTGGGATGACTCCCCTCCACATGACGGTGCGGCTGGCGCTGCTGGTGATGATGCATTCATGGATGACATCGATCTCGACGATCTTGGCGACGAGTAGGCTGTACTCGTTGCCCGTCTCAGTGTGTCTGTTTTGATTTTCTTTTTAGACTTTTGTGTGTTTGCTCCATGTGTGCGGAGCTTGCACTTGGTGTCGTTTGTTTTGTTTTTGGTTTTTCCTTTGTGGTTTGATGTAGCCGTCTGGGCTAACACTTATCCCTAACGCCAGTGTGCTAGTGTTTCTGATGTTCGATTTGTGCAGCATTGTCCACTCCCCCGTTCGTTTCTCGCTGACTGGTCCACTTCCAGTCCCCCAGCAGTGTTCTTACCCGGTAACATCGTTCCCCTTATCTTTCCCTCTACTCCATTGAGGGCAATGTCGTGTTTCAGTGTGGGGGGATGCTTTGTATCGGTTGGAATATTTATGATGGTGCTTGGAGCCTAGTCCGCTGTCCGAATCTTACGATTTGAGGGCTCCAAGTACTGCTGTTTGATCATATTGGCACTGTGTTTTGATGGATGAATTGATTGGTTTTTGGATTAATGCATGACAACCTGTTTGCGACTAGGACAACCTATGATGAGGACTGAGATGTGCAGTAGAACGATGTAGGGGTTCAGTTTTTCAATTGTTTGCTTGCCAACTGTGACTTGATCTGACTTGATTTGATTACTTGTTCTTGACAGTCGTTTATGCATCTAGTTCAGGGTATCAGAATGTGAGATAGAGCATATAGGTAGCCATGTGAGATTTGAGCCTGCTCGTTTCTTTCTTGTGCGATAGATCCCTCTTCCATGATGTGTAGCATTCACGTTGTCACTAGCTAAGATGATGGGGGCATAGGATTAGCCCACGCCCAAACAACTGACTGTCCTGATGTGTCATATCCCCTAGTCAGCCCCTTTGAGCCGTGTGTTATCCTTTCTTTTGGTTTATAATGAAAAAAATCACCCTTGTTGCATCTTTTAGAAGGTTCCACAGAGTGGTTTTTACATATTCTCTGCTGTTTCTGCTAAAGTCTATGTGAGTGTTGGAGGTAGTGCTTAAAAGTTGGGCAGGTGTTTGAAATTTATGCAGAAGTGGTGGCTCTCTTAAGAAATGAAAAGAAAAATGAAAGAAAAACAAAGAAAAAAATTGAAAGCAAAAGAGAGCCACTACCAAAAATCTGAATAATGCCCAGTAAGCAGTGTTTCTTAGCAGTCTGGCTTGGAAATGCTGATGTTTATGCCTCCTTCGCTCTTGTGCTCTTAAGATATTGAGTAATGCAGAATAGCAGAAAGAAAATACCGGGTTGTTTGACTGTGATTGTGTGTTTGGAAAATGTGGAACCTTTTGCTATGAATACTTCCACCACCTAAAAGGCCTTTTCCCCATGTCCAAGACCCTAGCCAGTCATTTGAACCTGTGTCTAAGACCTTCTGATTAGTTAGTGGTGACACCCCATATGTGAACTCTAGCATTTAGAGGCTGCCATCATGGTGAAGAGATGATAGGGATTGAGAGAAATAGCATGCGCATCTTTCGCATCAAATTGTCCTGACCCCACTGGTCGAGAGTGAGTGATTCATTTTCATTTTCTATATGCTCTTGTACCCCGGTGAGGACCTAGATTGTTCGGTCTCTATTCTGATGTCTTGAGTTGGATGCATGAGTTGACTGTTTTGAGTAAGTGGTTGAATCAAGTCTAGGTTGGCCAGTGAACAGAAGGGAGACTCTTCCTTTACTCGATTTGCTGCACTCGAATGTCCTTTGTGGTGGTTGTCCAGGTTGTTATTGAGGTTGTGCATGTATTGATGTTTGAAAACCAGTGCGATTCACGTGTTCTGTGCCTTTATGACTTGTCCCCAATGTTGGTTGATTGAAATATGTAAGCTTACCTAGTGTCTGACTTGGTTTGCTTGGGGACAAGCAAACGGTTAAGTGTGGGGGAGTTTGATAGACCGTCATTTACACATGTTTTTACCCTCATACTTACACCGTTTGAGGTGTTGATTCTCGTGTTTTAGGCCGATTTCACGCTAGGTTGTGCTTGTTTGTGTTATTTCAGGTCCTAGTACGTGAATGAAGGCTTAGGAGCGAGTCTGGGGTCGATTGGACGAAGAACGGACGAAGGGCGAGCTTTTTGGGGAGTGCACGGGCAGACCAGGAGGCTGCACGGCCGTGCACTTGAGCCATTTGGCCGTGTGCCTCACGCCGAGGCCATGCACGGGCAGGCCATGAAGCTTGCACGGCCGTGCGCCTGGCCGTGCAAGATGGACGAAGACACAATAATTGATACGGTGCGTTTCATGGTGCACGGCCAGAATGGTGTTGTGCACGGCCGTGCACCTGGCCGTGCAACTCGGGGAGAACCGGTTTTAATGCCTAATCCGAGCCAAAAGTGGGGGATTCGAGTTTTTGAGAGACAGAGCGGTTCCTAGAGAGAGAAAGCGACGAACAAGAGCCTCCAAGTGCCCTAGATCGATCTTCAGCACCATTGGAGCTTGGTTTGAGCTTGGAGAAGTGCCGATTCAACGTCCAGGAGCAGAAATCCATCTTCACAGTATGATTTCGGCGTCTGATTCTGCTTTTGCTTCTCTCTCCATGGAGTAGTTCCCCCATTCATCTGGGTGTGGGAAACCCTAGATCTGTATGTTAGGTTTGATTGTATGAACCCAAGTATTGATTCTATGATTTGATTATATTCGATTGAGGTTTGAATGATTGAATGACTTGAATCCTGATCAAATTCCTGTTGTTTCTGCTTTAACCTAGAATGATAATATCTGCCTAGGTTGATAGAGCATCCTTAATCGAAGGTAGTGAATTGGTGACTTTAGTCGAGGAGCCAGTTCACTATTCTGTACCGAATTCCATTCGGTAGTGGAGGTTTTGTTCATAGGGCCTCAATCTGTTTACTCCGGTGTAGGTTAGTCGCCAGCTAGAGACTCAGATTGAGAGGGTCTGAAGACCTTTAGTCGAGACTTCAGACTGATTAAGAACCTTCCGCAGTATAACTTTCATAGAAATCGAACTTGGTAATTACAATCCGGCTTAACTGCAGACTAGGGGGAACCATATCCGGGTGACCTCTCTTAACCTGAATACAACCGTTTTAGTTACTTTGCTTGCTTGTTAGTTTAGAACTTCACTAAAGTTTCATTGCTAGATAATACGAATTCACTGAGTAGTCATCACATCTAGGACCCGGGTTGACAATAAAACCCAAACACGCTATACTACGCTTTAGGAAGTGGTTACACTTGGCCATTTTCTAGAGTGACAGTAATAGCGAGTCAAAAACTTAATCGCATTCAACACAGCAAAGAACCCTTTTATCCCCCCTTCTTCAGTTTTCCCATTTGATTAAACCAATTCTAAAATGCCTTAGATTTTCCGATCTCTCTCGCTCCGAGCGATTCTCCGATGAATCCCTCACTCCGATCTGAGCGAATCCTCCGGCCCCTCCCTCATCCGAACGGCGCGAATCTCCGATCCCTCCCTCACTCCGAGCGACGAATCTCCGATCTCTCTCTCAATTAGAGCGACGCCAATCTCCGATCTCTCCCTCGCTCCGACGCGATTCTCCAATCTCTATCTCGTTATGGCTGATAAGGTTATCTCTCTAGTACTTTTCACTTTTAGGTCACTTAGATTATCAATTCAAATTTTTTGCTCTCTTAAGAGATTGAGATATATAATAAACCTTTCTGTTTCTGCGTGTGCATTTGCTCTCGTTCATAACGTAGATGTTCATCAGTTTGTGATAATACTAGGGATTAATCCATTTGATTTCTTTTACTCGATGGAATCTCACCCTGTGCTTTCGTGGATCTGTTGTAAGCTGCTTAATTTCATTTCGTTTCCATGGCTCTAATTCTAAAATGCATATTGTTTTAGTTGAGTAATCAGGGGAAAATCTCTTTGTCTGTAGTTACTCACTCGGGATGGTTGGCTGAAATATTAGTTGATAGATGATGATGTCATTAGGAGGAGTTTTGATTAATTTTGTAATGCTTAGTTTAATACACTTGGATGTTCTTCGTTTATTTCATCAATTGAAGTCCCTCGACCTGGCTCTGTCCTTCCAATATTATACGGCATGCTAGCTAGTACATAATAATCTCCCTGTGGGAATAATTTGCTTCTTCAATATGGATGGGCAAACAGAAAGTTTATTCTGAAATGCAGGACAAATATCTGGATTTGCTACTGCAATATAAGGATAAACAGAAGGCCAGAAATTGGTCCTCGTGTTAGCACCATGAAGTAAGCAGGCGGCTTCGTCATAAGCTCTTCCAGCTTCTTCAGTGGTGTCGAAGGTAACTAACCATACCCTGATCTTATGTATTGTGTCTTTGATCTCTGCAACCCATCTCCCGGATGGCCTTTGACTCACTCCCACAAACCTCTACTTTTGGTTTTGTGGTGGTAATGGGGATTATATAAAGGTATCCATGTGGACAGGTTCTTCCTACTTATCACTGTTATTGGTAATGAATTGAGGTTTCATTGTCAAAACAAAGGGGGCTATAGGGGAAGAAGTTCGACTAGTTTCAGTTTGTCTGGTTGTTGGTTCAAAGTTGTTTAATTCACATTCACTGTTGTGATCTGCATCTCCTTTGTTTTGAAGAACCCTTTGTGTTGTGCTGTTTGAATGACTGAGAAAAATATCTATGTATGGATTAGTGAGAAAAATAATGTGCTATGATGCTATGATTGTCTACTATGATTTACTAGGCCTATCTATGTATGGATGCTGCATTCTCTTTTTTGAGGAACTGGATCTCAGTTTTTCCTAAATCATCTGTGTTGTCATTGTAGGACTTGTCCCTTGTGCAATTCTACTTTTCGGGCTGCTTCTTATCCTAGAATCTCCCAGATGGCTGGTATTTATAATTATGCTCTCTCAAGGATTTTAGAATCTAAGGAGGCTGGTTTTGAATTGTTGTTGACAAGAATGTTTGTTGTTCATATGTTCTGCAGGCAAAGACATGTCATGAGAAGGAGTTTGAGGTTGCATTGCAGGAATTTTGTGGCAATGATGCTGACATTTTAGAGGAGGCAGCGGAGATGAAGGTTTGTTATCCTAACCTAAAATGAGACAAGCATTCAATATAATGAGCTGAGATGGCGTGCTTTGAATAAAGTTTAGTTGTTAAGAAAGTTGAGTTATTTTAGAATTAGTTTTACCGGAGTAAAGGTTGGAGATATTTTGCATTGTTTTGTCTATGATGATTAAGCTTGATCAATTTATGCTAATTCTTAGCCTCCTTTCATGACAGGTCATTCTGATGGGGCGGCTGAAAAAGAGATTATGCACAACTGAGGCTCCATTTTCTCAGTCTTCCGCATTGACCCTGGATAGCGGTACACCAGCTACCCCTTTCAATGGTGAGTGTCTGTTCTTTATGCATGAGTTGGTATGCTCTGTTAAGTGTACTGGACTTGTTATTTTTCATTGGAACTCTCTCATCCCTAATATTATTACGTATGATTCCAAGTGATGCAACCAAGTCATTCCCCTTTCAGTTTGGGTCCATAAGCCCTGGTTTTATGAATGGGATGCAGGTATTTCTAGGGATGGCAATTTTGACCTGACCCGTTTTACACGACCTGTTTGACCTGTTTTGGGGCGGGTCCGACCCGCCCCGTAGGTGGGGCGGGACGGGCATGGGTAGTCTCATCGACACGACCTGCCCTGACCCGCCGCATTCTCGACCCGTTCTTGTCTAAATTACATGTAATCTTAGTCAAATTACTTAAAATTTTCCTTTTATTGCATCATATTTTAGCTATAATAAAGTTGTAAATTAGTAAAAACTTCAATTTCTCCAATAATTTAACTACAATTGTCATAATATTGTTTGTTTTCTTAGTCTTATAATAAAAATAACGAATATTCCTCATATTTTTCATAGAAATTGCATACCCATTGGGTCGACCTGCCCCGACCCGCGACCCGTGATCAATTACCCGACCTGGACCCGACCTGCCACGGGGCGGGTCTGGGTACCAAGAAACCCGCCCCAGACCTGCCCCATTGCCATTCCTAGGTATTTCACTACACTTATGCTGCGATGGCTTTTTATAATTTCTTGTGCAGCAGTATGAAGTGAAGAAGCATTGTGATGTAGATTCTTGCTCGAACTAGCTTAGCTCCCCCAAACTTGGATGAGCAGAAGCGCGAACAGGTCCATTCTTTTGTTTTCCCCCTCAATCTAGTAATAGAATTTAGTGAGTGCATATTTTTGTTGTTGCTTATTGATAGCAGAGGCCTCCTGCTGGATGAAACTTACATTTTTCTCTATGTGTAGTGTAACTGATCTCTTGTTTGGAATGCACAGTAGAATCCCAAACTTTATTTAAATCTCTCTCTAGAATCACTCTCAAACACACATATGTTTTTTATCTGTGAACTTGTAGGCACTCCATGATGCATATAGATCTGTGAACTTGCAGGCACGCCGGTGAACAAACTCCCTTATGTTAAAATAGCCTTTGTTTTTCCTTTAAAATGTTAAAATAACCTTTGTTGTAGAGAACAATTCCCTTCTCTATAGTATTATATAGAATGACAATTATGACTAGAATGTTGGGCTTGTTGATGTTCAAAAAATCAGGTGTTACCAATTATACTGGAAACTTTAGCTTGTTGATGTAAAAAATAAGTTTTGGTATCAATTATATTAGAATGTTTGGATATAGTGACATGAATCAGTATTTGCGACGAAAATGTCGTTGCTAATGAGCACCTCTCTTTTTTAATGATGGTTCTATGAACAATATAATGACCACAATATTTGAATATAATGACCAAAATACCAGTATTTGCAACTAAAATGTCGTTGCTAATGAGACACCTCTCTTCAGTATGCAACTTTAGAGACAATGTGAATTCGACATAAAATGTTCATTAAGATTTAGTGACGATTATGCAAGGGTTTTAACCCTTGCTACAAACATCTCCTCATTGTAATTTACATTCACGTGTAGCAGGGGTTTTAAACCCTTGGTACATTAGCAAAGGTTAAAACCCTTGCTATAACCCTTGGATGGGACTTCCACCGTGGGTTGCTAAAAACCCTTGCTACACGTAGCAGGGGCAGCATTGGCGAGGGTTTGTCCAGGGGTTGGAACAACCCTTGCTACAACTTGTAGCAGGGGTTAAAATCCTTGCTATAGGTAAACAAAAACCTTGCCATAGACCCTTCTTTTTGTAGTGACTGGAACTACAACAATTATATATGTTCATGGTAATTTTGGTGCTGGAAATTATGTGTTCATGGCTATCTTTTTATATGGTTGTCTTTTCATTTTATGAACACGGTACCACTAGTGCTCCTGCTCCATTAATGGGATCTCGAGCTTTGTGATCGAATGTCGTATGAAGCATTTTGGAAATAATCTATTTATGATGATTAGTATTTAGTCATGTAAAGAACATCATTTTGGATAATGAATCATATATGTTATGATTCAGGATATGAAGGGTATTGCAACCAGGGTATTTGCAACCAATCTATTGCCACTATTAATGTTGCATCTATTTAGTGACAAATTTTAGCAACCATTTTGATTTTGCCACAAAATGTTTTTCAGTTTTCGTGACAAACTAAACCCTTGCAAGTAGCACATTCTTGTAGCAATTTTCCATAAATTTACATAGGTGTGTACCAAGGGTTCAAACCCTTGTTAGATGTAGGAACGGATTATCCAAGGGTTCTAACCCATGTTACTAGTGGCTTTTACTTAAATTTTACACAGATGTATAGCAAGGGTTTAAACCCTTGCTACAACCGCTGCAAAAGACTTGCACCAAGGGTCGCTTATAACTCTTGCTACACGTAGCAGGGACGGCTTTGTCAAGGGTCCGCCCAAGGGTTATGAATACCCTTGCTACATCCTGTAGCAGGGGTTAAAACCCTTGCTACAGGTGAAAATAACCCTTGCCATAAACTTTTTATTTTGTAGTGATTATATGCATTCAACTAATACATTGATTTAACTTTATAGGAAATATGAATAGAATTTCAATAAATAATAGTCATTAAGCACGCAATTATTTGCTGCATTAACTGAAAACTAGAAAAAGCCCATTAAAGAAGGGGTTGAACTAATTGTTTAAAAATCCAAATAGTCAAATAATTAAGGAAATGACCGAGATTTATGGATTGTAATAGTCACACGGTTGCGATAAGAATTTAACAAAAATCGCTTCCTGCCTATAATTATGGACAAGTTAGAATCTGAATAAATCAAGAAAGTATGTTATGAATCTCCTTATATATATGTAAGATAGAAGTTGATGCTCTAGCTAACATATCACTTTACTTCCAACAAAAAGCCACTAGAAAAACAAAATTAGTGAGAAATCATCCATGATGAAAAGGTTGTCATGGGCGATTATTTTCATACTTCTTCTTATTTGTCTATTCCATGGTAATTATCGATATTTTTATGGTTTCATGTCGCAAGTTTCATTTTGATGTACTTAGTATAAATGTCTTCTCTTAACAAAAATTAAGGTGGTCTGATTTCATATGTGATTAATGTTTGCAATAAAATTAGGGAACGAGGTTGTAGCATTCCGCAGTCACGAATTTGGGCCGAAGATGGATTTTTGCGACAAGTTCACTTCTTTTCCTCAAAGATTTTTGCATATCCGAGGTGGTGGTTGCGAGGACTCAATATGCGACACTGCATGCAACAACATGTTTGGAGGTGTTGGAATAATTGTTGCTGGACGATGTGAGCAGCATACTTGCGCATGCTACGACCTTTGCTATCATTATAATGCTCCTCCGCTAACCGAATTAAATTAAGAAAAAGAGACTAATTTTTCTGCAACTAAATAAATAATTTGGGTGCCTCCAATATTTATTGGTTTCTCAATAGTTACAGGTTATTATTTAGTAGAGTATTTCTTTGTATTTCCACTTATCTTTTTTGGTAAAATAGGAAATCTAGCTAGCTTCCTATTCAATGAAAAGTTCAATAAAAGTCGAATTAGCTTATAAGTAATTATGCTTTCTTTTTTTCAATTTCAAGGCTCTAGATTTATGGGTTTTCCTTGTACCTCATCACAACATCACAATTAATTTAGGATTGTTTGGATAAAAGATTTGACCATGAGGGATTGTTTAGGGGATTTGACCCAAATCGTTCACTTAAAAAACAAGCTATTTAGCATCAGAGATTCCCAAATCTCTTGTTTGGAATTGCATATGGGCTTTCCATAAAAAATTGAAAAGATTTTACCCTCTAAATCTCAATTCTTCTCCTTCCCTATCTTCTTCATCTTCCTCTGTTCTCCGACTAGGCTACTCAGATCTAGAGACCACTTCAAAATCAGCTGATTCTCTCTTCCAGAACCCCAATCTGTGACCCTTTTGGCTGGAAACCCAATCCATTTCTCCCAAATAAGCAAACTTGAAAATTCTGTTTGTCCGAGAAAAAGTATTGAGATCTAATTCCATATGAATTTATTCCCTTTCCCTTCTCCACGGTTGGTCGCCAACCTTTGGCTCAATAGGTAGTACAACCCACAACTACTCCATTGGTGGTCGCCATTGTCCCCGCCGCCATCTAGAATTGAATGTGGGAAGCTTCTGTTGGGAGAAATTATTAGAGGAAATGAAAGGATAAATTAGGGTTCTTAGAGGATTTGGGAAAAAAGGAGATCGAAGAGCAAGGCAACCAGAATTGGAACGAAAATTTCGTTCTTTGCCTCGAGCTTTGTTTGTCTCAGAGACTGGGCCCAAATACTTCTAAGCCCGCAAAAGAAACAGACCAAACTAAAATAAAATAGGCCTACTTCAATATTACTTGCAGTTAGAGACGAGATCGTCTTCTTTCTTGCAAGTGAACATTTTCGGCTGAAGAACAGAGACAGAACAGGGGAAGAGAAAAGCAGAGCAGCACAACAAAGAAGATCAGAAAAGAGCAGGGACAAGGCGATTTAACGAGGTTCCCCAAACTACTGGGTCAGTCCTCGTCCTAGACTCAGTACTGCACTGAGTTCTAGGAGACTATGTTTTTATTGAATTTTCCCTATCAAGCAAAGTAAAAAAATGAGAAACAGACTCAAGAAAAATGAAGTGAAAATCTGAAAGAAACCCCGAATCCCAATCCAGACCCGTTACACCGGCAATCCAAAAGATCCTATTCCTCTGTTCAGATCAGCCCACTAAGTAGACAGCCCTGTACCGCTTCTAACCAAGTACCATGCGTGATTACTCCGAGGAAGATTATATAGCAGCTTTGAAGAAGACCGTTGCCTTTGAATTTCTCCAGAAAGGGTAAGCTGGCACCAGTGTCCGTTTGATTTGCTTGATTACCGCCAATGTATCTTTGATTTGCTTGATTTCCAACTTTCCATCTTTCAACAATCTCCACCTAAGTTGGAAATAGCAAGTTGCTAATGAATCCTGCAAAACAGAACACAAGAATTTTCTCCAAGACAACATATGCAGCAGACATTCACAAGATCATATGCATAAGACATTCACAGAACCAACAAAAACTTCCTAGATTAAACTAGGTAAACATCCAATCATCTAGAAAGGAAATCAAAGACCACAGCCTGGCCAGGCAAACCAATCAGCAAATCAACTCCCTCAAAATCCTTGCACAAAAAAAAAACATTATTCAATGCACAAAACAAATCCCGATCAGTTCATAAAGCCTACTGCTCTCCCTGAGATTGAGCAACTTCACCATCAGAATCATAGCCATAAAGAGCTTGAAGTGCTTCTACTAAGAATAACAACGTTGTCGTCGCCATTCTCCCCCCTCAACTGCTATTTTTAGAAGATCCATGACATCGTCGGCGGTAAGAAAGATAGAGGGAGTGATGAAGCGGAAGGGATGAAGATTGACACGAATGCGCAACAGAAGGGTGGTGGTGAGAGGACCAAAGGGAAGGGGGGAAGTGACATTCACATCGCAGTAGGAAAGAGCACGGCCAAAGAAGAGGTCAGCATAACTGAGAGGAACACCATGAGCAGCATGAACCAGAATCCAAAGCTCCACAGGGGTAATCAGGTTTAAGTTACCAGAACGAGGCAAAAACACACGGAATATGAAAAAGTGAAGAGCTCGAAGAGAGGGCGGAAGAGCCGAGACAAGCAAGGAAAGATTTGGACCAGGAAACTGGCCTGTAAGCTGGCGGAACTCAACCGAAATATCAAAATTAAAAAGTTCCAGCTCAGAGGCATCAGCAAGATTCTCACCAATGACAGGGATGTGAAGAGAACGTTCAACTTCAGCCACGGGAATAGTGAGAAGATTTCCAAAAACCAGGGTGGTGAAAAAACGAGAGCTGAGCTGTGTAAATCGAAGATTTGAATAAAAGAAGCACACAGCATCAGGACAAATGACAGAGGAAAATGGATGATCCAACAAAAAGGTCCATCCAAGATTTTGAATGAAAGGACGCACATCAAGTCAAACTTCAATCAGATCAGGAAGCTGAACATGATATGAGGGAAGAACCTCTCGATTGGCAAAAAACATATCATGACGATGGGCATTGGCAGGAATAGGATCTAAAAACAGAGTGCCAGTGAACGTGCTAAGGAAGGGCAAAACCATTGCTACTACTACAGAAAGGAAGACAAAACACTCAAGGATAATCGAAAGGACACAGAAAACACACGTATAAATACTCAACCGACAAAACCCTAAGACATAAACTTACTATAAGAACCAGACTAAAAAATCGAAATCAATAATAAAAGCCATCCAAAAAAGGAGAAAAACAGGAACGAAAATGCTAAGAAAACACAGTAGAAACGAAAAGAAAAAAAGGTAAGAACCAATTAAGAGGCAAGATCTCCAATTACCTCTGTCAGAGAGGAATGGGATCGCAAGCCAATCTCATAACTAAGGAAATGAAAACGATCTGCAGACAATGGCTTGGTAAACAAGTCAGCAAGTTGAAACTCTGATGAAATATATGAAAGCACAATAGTCTTTGCCTGAACCAATTCCCTAATGAAATGATACTTAATGTCAATATGCTTGGTTCTAGAATGCTGGACAGGATTTTTGGACATGCATATGGCGCTAGTATTGTCGCAAAATAAAGGAATAGAGGAAACAACCATACCATAGTCAGCAAGTTGAGTTTTAAGCCAGAGAAGCTGTGCACAAGAGCTAGCGGCAGCAAGGTATTCTGCCTCAGCAGTAGATAAGGCAACAGCTGCTTGCTTTTTACAAGACCATGAAACCAATGAAGTACCTACGAATTGACAACTACCAGATGTACTCTTCCTATCTATTAAGCTCCCATCAAAATCAGCATCGGTATATCCAACCAGATCAAACTGATCTTGCTTCGCGTACCAAAGCCCTATATCTATAGTACCTTTCAGATATCGAAAAATGTGTTTTACCGCCGATAAATGACTTTATTTAGGCTGAGATTGAAAACGAGCACACAGGAAGACAGCAAATTGGATGTCAGGACGACTGGCAGTAAGATATAAAAGAGATCCGATCATGCCACGATACAAAGATTCATTGACAGGTATACCAGCCTCGTCTTTGTCCAGTTTTACATTAGTCGCCATAGGCGTAGGACTGGGATTAACAGCAGTCATATCGAATTTACTGAGCATGTTGGACACATATTTGGACTGATGAATAAAAGTACCATCAGGGGTTTGTTGAATCTGGAGACCAAGAAAAAACTTAAGTTCCCCCATCAGACTCATCTCGAAAACACTTTGCATAGACTCACAGAACGAGGAACAAAGACTAGTATTGGTAGAACCGAAAACTATATCATCTACATAAATATGAACAAGCAGAAAATCAGATGAAACATGTTTGGTAAAAAGAGTTTTGTCAACTGATCCTTGTATGAAACCTTGATCACAAAGGAAGGTAGTAAGGCGATCATACCAAGCTCGAGGAGCTTGTTTGAGACCATACAAAGCCTTACTCAATTTAAAAACGTGATCAGGATACTTGGGATCTACAAAACCTGGAGGTTGAGCAATATACACATCCTCCTCAATAACTCCGTTTAAAAAAGCGCTTTTAACATCCATTTGGAATAATGGAAATCCCAAAAATGAAGCATAAGCACAAAGAAGACGAATTGATTCAAGACGTGCAACAGGGGCAAACGTCTCATCATAGTCAATACCTTCTTCCTGAGAGTATCCTTGAGCAACAAATCTAGCTTTATTACGAATGATAATGCCTATCTCATCAGTTTTATTCCTAAAAACCCATTTAGTGCCTATAACAGTTACATTCAAAGGTCTTGGTACCAAATCCCAAACATGAAGATGAGCAAACTGAGAGAGTTCTTCAACCATTGCCAGAAACCATGCATCATCTCCTAAAGCAATCTTGTAAGACTTAGGTTCTATTTGTGACACATAGGCATATTGTCCAGGTATGTACTTACCTCTAGTTTTGAGACCACCATTGATATCCCCAATGACTTGAGTAGCAGGGTGACGCTTCTGAATGTGTGGAGGAGCAGCAATGATAGTATCTAAGGAGTTTTGATTATCTGTATCATCTGGCATAGAAGAAGGAGGGTTTCCAGAGTTGTTCTGCATACTGTCACTAGCCTCCTGCTCTATATCTGAAACTTTATCAAACTTTGAGAATAATTCAGACAAGTCAAAGGACTAGAATGTGATTTCTCAGAGGTGATGTCATTGAATCGAACATGAACCGATTCTTTCACCTTTTGAGTACGAGTGTTGTACACTCTAAAGGCTTGTCCTTTGACAGAATACCCAAGAAAAATTCCCTTGTCAGATTTAGAATCAAACTTTCCCAGTTGATCTCGAGTATTTAAAATATAGCAGGGACAACCAAATGGGTGAAAGTATGATATATTAGGCGACTTGTTCTTAAACAGTTCATAAGGGGTTTTATTCAGAGTTTTTCGAACAAGAACACGATTGATTACATAGCACGCTGTACTTACAGCCACTGCCCAGAAGTATTTTGGCAGATTGTATTCCAACAAAAGTGTGCGAGCACATTCGATTAGAGTTCTATTTTTCCGCTCTACAACCCCATTTTGTTGAGGGGTACGAGGAACAGAGAAAATATGAGCGATCCCAGTATTATTGCAGAAAGTTTCAAATTCTTCTACAATAAACTCACCCCCGTTGTCACTCTTAACCGTTTTAATTTGATCAGCATGGAGTAAAGCAAACATTTTAAACTTAGCTAAAGTTTCAGACTTTTGAGCAAGAAAGAAGACCCAGGTAAATCTGGAAAAATCATCGACTATAACAAACACATAATTCTTGCCACCCAGACTAGTAACATTACAAGGACCAAAAAGATCCATGTGCAGCAGCTCAAAGACAGCTGTAGTAGTAATGTCTGGTTTTGACTTGAATGATCTTCATGTTTGTTTACCAGAAATACAAGTATCACAGAAGAAGTTTGATTTTTCCTTAAGATCAGGAAGCCCTCTAACCAGTTTTAACTTAGACAACATAGCTAGTTTTTGCAAACTAATGTGTCCAAGTTTCCTGTGCCAGAGAAGCTCTTGATGAAAGGAAGCAATGAAACAGTATTCGTTGAAAGCATCAAGATTTCTAAGATCAATAACATACATATTATTCTGTCTTGATCCAACAAAAATGACAGTTTCATCGCTTGACCTCTTCACTAGACAACGAGAGGTTTCAAAAATAACATTATGACCACTACTACACAACTGACTTATGGAAAGCAGATTGTGCTTAAGCCCATCAACAAGTAAGACATCATGAATCATAGGTGAAGGTAATTTACCAATGGTTCCTATTCCAACAATTGTGCCAGAACTATCATCACCAAAGGTAACTTTGCCACCTCGTTTAAATTTAAGAGATGAGAAAATGTCTTGCTTACCAGACATGTGATGCGAATAGCCACTGTCAAGGTACCAGAGGTCATCATCTTGACTCAATTTACCAGTGTCTTCAAGTGGAGAGGAAGAACCGACCTGTGCAGAATTTGAACAGTGTCCTGAAGAGGATGAAAAGGCCATAAGGGCTTCTTTATCGATCTGGTCTGGTTCCTCATCAGTCTCATAGTCACTCCAGGATGCCTTCATGGCGCGCTCCTTAGCTTTGAGAGTTTGAGGACAGTTAGCCCTGATATGACCCTGTTTCCCACACTTGTAACATGCCTGGGGTTCTCGATCACTTGTACCTGTATCTAAAGTCCTGGTCTGCTGGTTAGGCAGCCTGTCATGTGATGAACTCTTAAAACGATCATTAGTAGTAAATCGAGAATCATCAAAGCGACGTTTCTGATCATTTTTATATTTCAGCATACGATGAAAGCGTTTACTTACCAAAGCAAACTCTTTCTCAAAATCTCTTCCTAAATCATTATCAGAATCATAATCGACGGCCCTAGACTGAAAAGCTAGAGTTTTCTTTCTCTTATCATCATCCTGATGAACTTGCTTAATAACGTTTTCATGGCTTAGCAGAGATCCTATAAGCTCATTTATAGGAAGAGTTGCAAGATTACGCGCCTCCTCAATAGCAGTGCGCTTGGGTAACCACTCCTTAGGTAATGATTGAAAAAATTTTCGATTGAGATCTTTAACCAGAAAGGTACGACCTAACCCTTTGAGTTTATTTATAAGAATTGTGAATCTAGAATACATCTCATGAATGGATTCATTATTTAGCATAGAGAATGATTCATACTCATGTACCAATAAATCAATGTGTGATTCTCGAATATTAGAGGTACCTTCGTAAGTGCTCTGGAGAGCAATCCAGATTTCCTGTGCTGATTCACAGTTCTCAACTTGATCTGCCTCTTCAGGAGTCATTGCTGATTGAAGAACATGCATCGCCCGTTGATTCAACTGAGTACTTTTCTTCTGTGCAGCAGTCCATAGGTGTTGCTCCGCTAGATTCATGTCGATAGGACCATTTTGCACGATGAGCCAAAGCTCCTCATCGATGCCCCACATAAACTGCTTGATTCTCTTCTTCCATGCAGTATAGTTTCCTCCAGAGAAGATCGGAGGATGATTTTAGAGTCGCCTGCCCGAAGGAATTGGAGGCCATCGGATCATTGAACTTGGCAGGAATGAGCTTCTTCAAGGGCAGGCTCTGATACCAATTATTAGAGGAAATGAAAGGATAAATTAGGGTTCTTAGAGGATTTGGGGAAAAAGGAGATCTAAGAGCAAGGCAACTAGAATTGGAACGAAAATTTCGTTCTTTGCCTCGAGCTCTGTTTGTCTCCGAGACTGAGCCCAAATACTTCTAAGCCCGCAAAAGAAACAGACCAAACTAAAATAAAATAGGCCCACTTCAATATTACTTGCAGTTAGAGACGAGATCGTCTTCTTTCTTGCAAGTGAACATTTTCGGCTGAAGAACAGAGACAGAAAAGGGGAAGAGAAAAGCAGAGCAGCACAGCAAAGAAGATCAGAAAAGAGCAGGGACAAGGCGATTTAACGAGGTTCCCCAAACTACTGGGCCAGTCCTCGTCCTAGACTCAGTACTGCACTGAGTTCTAGGAGACTCTGTTTTATTGAATATTCCCTATCAAGCAAAGTAAAAAATGAGAAACAGACTCAAGAACAATGAAGTGAAAATCTGAAAGAAACCCTGAATCCCAATCCAGACTCGTTACACCGCCAGTCCAAAAGATCCTATTCCTCTGTTCAGATTAGCCCACTAAGTAGACACCCCTGTACCGTTTCTAACCAAGTACCATGCTTGATTACTCTGAGGAAGATTATATAGCAGCTTTGAAGAAGACCGTTGCCTTTGAATTTCTCCAGAAAGGGTAAGCTGGCACCAGTGTCCGTTTGATTTGCTTGATTACCGCCAATGTATCTTTGATTTGCTTGATTTCCAACTTTCCATCTTTCAACAGAAATCTAGAGAAGCAATGAAATATTTTGAGGGAGAAGGGAAAGGAAGCCATTTGGCCGATTACTAGCTACCTGCAAATTGCATCCGTGATATCGCGATCCAGCTTTGAACAATATTTTCACTGTATCGCCTCTTTTTTACAAAAATTTCAAAAAGGTGAATGGGCCTAGTATGATATATCAGTGATATCGCTATCAAGTTGTGCGTCTTGCAAATCACTTGCTACCACACACATGAATCTAAATTCATGTTGGACGGGGATGGGATGGGATGCTAACCCCATACTTCGTTAGGACCGTCCTAATCTCATAGATCAGCTTCCATTTATTTTCGGCTGAATAAAGGCTTTTTTATTAAGTGAAGGATATTTTAGTAATATCATATTAAACCCTAATATAAAAAGCACCTCTCACCTTCCCTCTCACCCACGGCCGCCTCTCCATTTTCCACTCTTTCAACACCAACCGTCTCTCCTCTCTCACATCTTATCCATCTGTGCGTACGGTGTGCGGCGATGGGAAGGAAGGGGCGCTCACAGAGACATGCAAATGCGACGGAGGCAGGCGGCGACGGGGAAAAAGGGTAGCACGAGATGCCGATAGAGGAGGTAGGTGGCGACGATGGCGATGGAGGAGTCTCCCCCATGATTCGTCGGATCTCTTCTTGTTCTGTCGTTAACTTTTAACCTGACGTGGTTCGTTGAGCATTCTGTCGATCTTTGGTTTCATTGTAGGTTTTCGTTGCGATAATATCTAGTTACATTGAGATTTTTTGTTTATTTGTAGGTTTTCTAGATTCTTCTCTGTGTGAGTTTCTTTGTGTTTCTGTTTAGCTAATCGAGCTTGTTCATGATTTTTATTGTTTTGTTTATGTTCATGTTCTTTATGTTTTAGTGTTTTTGCAGGATTCTGGTGAAATGAATTACATAAATTGTGGCGAGGTTGTTCCATTCGATAGATCTGTTTCTTTATCTAGCGTTGTAGGATCTGGTTCTTCATCTAGCGTTTTTGGAACTAGTTCTTCATCTAGCGATGTTGGATTTGGTCATTCGCCTAACTTTGATGTATCAAGAGGTAAGATATACAAATTTGTTTGTTAATCGAAGTGAATGTGTTAGATACCATATGGTACCATGATGGTAATTACTGGTATACGCTGAGAGGTGACACCATAGTGTTGTGTTGTGATATTGTTGTGCTGTGTATTTAATTTTTACCATATCATACCATGGTGATAATTACTTGTACCATGATTGTAAACATTGGTATATGCTGAGATGTAATTCTGCTGTGGCATGGAATTCATTTTACCATATCATACCATGGTGGTAATTATTGTATCATGGTTGTAATTATTGGTATACGTTGAGATGTGATACTGCTGTCGTGTGGAATTAATTTTACCATATCTTACCATGGTGCTAATTACTGGTATATGCTGAGATGTTATTCTGTTGTGGTGTGGAATTCATTTTACCATATCATATCATGGTGGTAATTACTGGTATTTTGTCATAATAGTATAGTTATGTTTTTCCACAAATAGTCTGTTGTTGTAATTGGTGTAAAAAGTTACCATGTTGATTTTTGTGAATGGAATACACTTTACCTTATTATACCATGGTGGTATTATATTTGTACATATTTAATAGGCGAAATACATTGGTATAGCCAAACCTTTTCTCCTTGTGACAGTTATAGCCACAACTTTCAGTAATGACAAATCTAGCCAGATTTAGGATATTGTTTGGACAATTATAGCCATTTTCGTTATAAACTTTAACGGCATTAGAGGTTTATTTAACACCATTAACGGTAAGCTGAGGTGGACATCCACCTATTCATGTCAACTTCCACATCAGCTGCCACGTCATGCACCTAGCTGCCACGTCATATTTAATAAAATAAAAATAATTTCATTAAATAATTAATTTCAGAAAAAAAATTGAGGAAAAAAAATTAAATTTTTAAGCTTATTTTCATTTTTATGTCTTCCGTTGCTGACTTGGTAACTTCTTGCCCGGTCTATCTCCAAACAGTGTCCTCCATATGTGAAGTAACTGCCATTCCCAATGCAGAATTTGTCTAACAAATTCCCTCCCCCATGCTTGTTTGTGTACAGGAAGAAACAACTCAATATGAGAAAGGTTCTAGACAAGTATATTGCTAAAATTGTCAAAAAGAAGCAGCTCAACAATTGAATTTTAGATTTTGTTTTTTCCTGAAACAAACGATCAATGTAAAAATGTACAGAAGCAACGATTAATACCTAAACTAGGAGCCAAAAGTGTGATAATAGTTGAGGAATGAAACATAGTATTTACACGAGCATATCAAAATAGCCTCTAAATGCCAACGACTAATAAAAAACTTGTTGCCTCAACAAATTTCCACTCCATCTAAGGTTGCGTGAGTGGGGCTTGACTTCCTAGGCACTCCGTTGCAGTTTGATGAGTTCCACAAACTGGATTCGATGGACCAACAACAGTAGATTGTCCATTAGCTCCATTAAGCTGTAAAGAGAAAAACCAAAATGATTATATTCTTATAAGCAACATTCAAGCTCACATACAACATATAACGATTGAAATAAAGTAAGCATACAAAAACCAAAACAAATCAAGAGGTATAACTTCACTTACTTGCACCCCTGCTCCTTTGTTCAAAGGGCATTTCCTTACATTGTGTGTAGATTGTCTACATTTGCTACAATGAAGAGTTTTTTCTGCCTTCCATTGTTCCCCTCTGGTTGTCCTGTTCGGTTTATTGTGGCTGCACTAGGATGGGTGACATTGTTCTCATCTATTTGTTTTCTTGTTCGTTTTCTACTGGCTTGACCATCTCTCTAAAAATAAGAAAATATAAAAAAAATGGGCAGTATTTAAAAGGACCAATCATAAAAAATGGGCAGTATTTAAAAGGACCAAACATAAAAAAATGGACTGCACAATAATAAGAGTAATCCAATAACATATATTCTGACCTTTTGTTGGGTAGGAGGTTGATGCGGTTGATGAGTTCCATTTTCAGCTTCTGGATATCCCCCTTGTGTTGTGTTTTCCTTGCAAACAACCAATCAAAATATGTTAAGTTTTAGAAATGTAAAAAATATACGCATCACAAACCATCAAGCGATACCACATTCTTACCACTCCTTGTCTAACTGGTAGTTCTTTACAAGTTCTTGAGTTATGACCTTCTTGTTTGCACTTGGTGCAATGCATCATCATTCCTCGTCTTATAATTTCTTCGCCAATCCCATTTCTTTGTGTGCGAGTCTCCATCTCACCGGCCGCCTTTTTTCTATTTTTCTTCGACATGCCCGGCATTGCTCGACTTTTGGGAGGGTAGATAGGATATCCTGTAGCGGTAGGCCAAGCTTGCCTTCCATCTAGGCATGGAATCCCATAATTGTATGCCTTCACCACAAATTCAGCATGATATGAATGATGGACAAAGTCATCAACTTCTTTTCTCAAGTGGGATATTGCTGATACGGCATGACAACATGGCAACCCACTTAATGCCCAATACCCACAAGTACAAGTGTTGGTGATTACGTCGACTATATAACCTTCACCTCCCATTTTCACTTCACACCTGTTCTCAAGGGTTTGTCGAGAAACACATAGCTATGAAAGTTCCTTTGCCTTTTCCACACGTTTTCGAATTCTTGGACAAAGCAAATATGTTGTATCTTTCAACATCTTGTATTTGGTGACAACTCTGGTCATTATGTACTCCCTAATACCCTCAAGCATGTCAATAATCCTAAAACCCCTATATTTGACAATGCTTCCATTCCATGTCTCGCACATATTACTCTCAACAGAGTCAAACTTCGCGATAGTAGATAAGAAAGCACGACAGAAACGTTTTGGATCAGCTTCCATGAAATCCTTATAAGGGGTAGGACCAAGTTATGTACCTTGTATCGCTTCCATTTCAGAAGTGGCCTTTCT